GCCATAACATTCATCCAATTGTTGCCAACTGTCCAAGGACCACATTCGTAAGCTCCGGTCATCCGAAATCGAGAACAGTCGATTATCTTTTCTCAGTAGACCAAAAATCATACCCTAAGAGGTAAGTTCATCAATGAAAAACAAAATTCTTTAAAATTAATTCGCTCAAACTAAAAAAGATCATAAAAATCGGCCATTCGGATGACTTTTTATAAGATAATGTTTAAATGGAGTTATCAACCGAGAGTAAACAGTTTCGTACAGGCGAATACAGACATATATGTTCTAATTATGCGAAAAAGTACCGTGTGATAACTGAGGATATGTGCCGGAGAAGGGGATTTCGATGGATATGAAATGATGATATCGCCCATTACTGTCCCAATTATAGTACGCAGGCTATTCCAACACTCTCCCTCCATTATCGAATACAATCTTCAATAAAAGAAAAACACGCATGAAATGGCAAATTGAAAATTTAACAAAATTAAAGTGGCATATAAGGAAATGAAAGATATAATACGTTCTGGTGTGAAAGACATAACAGAAGAGATATGTGCTAGGAAAAGAAACTGGGCCAGTTATTTAGTAAAAATGACTGACAAGAGATGGACGAAACGCGTTATCGATTGGTGCCCAGGACATTACCGATCCGCTAACTCGATTATATGGAGTGTTGTGGCTGGAGCGACTCAGAAGAGAACTCGGTGGCGTGGTTGTCAGCTTAGTCACCGGAGAAGATCAACAGCGCGTCAGTGATGGAAACGTCGTATCAGGTCCCTTCTAGGCAAGTGGTGTATTGGCGCGCAAGCGGCTTATATGAGGCCGCCGAGTTTGTATTGTAAAGTAGTGTCGATTCCGTGAAGTGCGCCGACCAGGACGACTTATGAAGGACGAAGGACCCTGTTGCTACCCCAAGTAATTGCCGAGGAGCTGAGACTCGACCTGACAGGCTACAGCACCCGGCCAGTCGACTGGAACGCCCGGGCCAGGAAACCCAACACAAGCATAGGGAAATGAAGCTTACTCACTACATTGTCTGTGTTTGCAGCTAAGGGATGACTCTTCTGTATTTATCTGATAAATCACGTGTCCCTTTTGTCTGAATAATTACTATTTTCCTCTTTTTTTTCTGTCTATCTTCTCTTGTCCTCTCTCTGATTCCCATTCTCTTTCTCTATTTTAATTTCAAATTAAGTACGCCAGAAATTTGCTTACATAACACTCTTATAACTCGACTGCACAAACATCTCTTCCTGGATACTGAATTTTGCATTTTCTCCGAGATTATCCAGTCGCATGAGTTGAGTGGCATTATTTATCGAGAGAAGGGCAATCTGCAAAAACTGTGGTTATCATCCACATCAAATATTTTTAATTTCTTCCTATGAAATTAAAAATGAGTTTGATCCGTTTCAATAAATTTCAACTTGTGGCCTGTTCCCTTTTTCCCTTTCTACAAACACCAAAGTACAGCACTTCTGTAATATCAAAAAGGTCAAAATCCTCTCCTTATCCGGTCTCTTTTTAAAAGGAGCCTGAGTGGTAACAATGCCAAGCAACCACACGTTGGCAAAATTTTCTATTTATTCTTGCGAGTGTTGCTTGGAAGCAAGCTGATGGTAGGACTCCCACTTTTATGGCATATGCCAGTACCAATTTACCATCGAAACAAACAAACAAACTGCACAGGGCTAGTTGCCTCCCT